TCATAGATTAGTTCAGGTTCACACTGAAGATGTCTATTGATCTTAAGAAAACAACTTTGAAAAACACAGAAGTATGGGCAGACGTCTCGATGATCACACTAACCAGTATGTGTTCCATAAAGGACCCTTTGTGAGGACGAGATTCTCAGACGACAGTCTATCTATATGCCTTACTATTAATGAGTGAGTAACTGAATATTAACGTCGCACTGTTCAGCTGCCCGAGGACTTTTAGTGACCGACCACGTCAATTTGAACTATGGTCAAGTGACGTGGTTGACACCTGAGCTGGCAACCCCCTCTCCTAACTACCACACCAACGGGAGGACGTTTGAGCTCTCGCTGGGTAAGCAGTAACTCACTCGAATCCTAAATGACGTGGTGGTTTATCTCGTGTGGAATGGTATCCACCTTGACTTGAACTCTCTGGCACGAATAGATTAACTCTTGAGTGTAGGATAACTTTTCCTTTTACCTTAACACTAGTAAGCAGAGACTAGCATAATCACTTCCCAAAGACCACCCTGCTTATGCTAAACTTCTGCTATTTAAAAGGTTGCTAATTTGAATGCTCACTCACGTTCTCGCTCACGGTTAGTTGGAAAGAATTGCCATTCTGGCCCCAAAGAAACCCAAGAAGACAATTAATGGAATGCGCGATGAGCCCGTCACACGATGTCATAGTTCAAAATTACGAAATCCTTCGCCAATAGCCCTAGTGCAGCTTTATAGTGCGGTCGACGTTAATACTCGGTATTCTTCAACTCATTTGGCAGCATGGACTTTCCATGCTGCCAAAATATAGCAGTTAGGGGCGGACACAATGGCGTAATGTGCAGCCCCATATCGCGGAGGCCCAGGATTTTAAGCAGCCAAAAGCTTGACTGCTATCAAATACGTATTTAACCAATTTATAAAATATGAAAGGTAAGACCTGACTTTGCAAGGGGCCCCTAATGATCTCCATTACTCCACTGGGTGAAAACATTTTTTATTAGAATCAATTTTTGTAATATTTATACGACTATTTTTCACATAAAACTCTAATGTACTGTTTTTTCCAAGAAGGGGTTTTCTGTCTAGAGTGTTTTTTTTTAATGTAAATTATGTTTGTGTTGTTGTTCGGTCGTGGGTACCTTAGTGGTTAGAGTATCGGACTCCAGATGTCATCAGACTCCATCGGTTCGATGCCCGATGCCACCAAGTACCCTCCGAGTACACACGGAGTCTGTGCTCGTTAATTCAGTGGGTCCTAAAGTCTTGTGGGCTGAATCACGAGTGCAGGGAACTGAAGAATATTTCCCTCCCATTCAGTTCCATGGCTAAATTGTGGAGGTGGAGATAGGTAGTGTCGCCATCTATCGTCCCTTCGGGGAATTTCGCCGAGCTAATTCGCACTGTCACCTGTGTGGTGCTCAAGGCCAACGACAGGCGTACTTCTAGCCCCTTGCCACGATGAATTTCGTGGGCTTTGATCTGACTACGTCAGACAGGTGGCATGAACAACAACAACAATGTTTGTGTTCACAAATTATGCAAATTTGGATATCACATACAATAAAAAATTGTTTATGTGTGTTCCTTCAAATTTCTTATTTCTATATTCAATTATTTTGAATTAAAACAAAAAGAAAAATTGGCTATACCTAAGCCAGAAGCCCATACAAAATTTTTCAAGAGGTGGGGTAAGGGTCCAGGGTTGAATGTCCACCATTCTCGTATCATACCTCAGGATGCCGCCAAACATAATCTTTTGATTTTTGTCGATATGGGGAACAAAAAACAGTAAAAAGTAAATTTTTAAATTAATAATTAGCATTAATTAATAAAATAAATTGTTAATAACAAGTATTCCATTATAAATTATACGTAGTATATATGCATATTATTATCATCAATCAAAAATATCAAGGCCTCCCTCCCTTGTGTGCGCCACTGACCTTAACCTTTGAAGGGCATTGTGTATAATATATACAACCTTCATCCTCTTGTCTTTCAATTATGCATTTTCGACACCATCCGGTTCCAGGTACGAGGATAATCTAATTAAATTTGAATGGAAAATTTTCTATATTTCTTTGAAATGCCCCATATCCGTTTTAATTATCTTTGTAATTCGATACTCTGGTATCTATAAAGTTTCTATAAAGAGATTTAAATTCAGTTAATGTTCTATAAAAATGTTTGCCATTTTTATGTATACATTATATTATAGTAATTATCAGTTACTCCGGTTTTTCTTTCTAGATATCCGTCAAGTAACAGTTAACATCTTTATGTGGGATTTGGAGCAACAAAGGCTATTATCACATTCGTCAACTTTTAGAGTTTTTAAAATATTTATTTTCTATATTAATTGCCACACACATGAGCGAATATTTATTAGGAGAAATGTTATATATTTTTCTAACAATTTATTCCAAAGTGCATTGAAGAATTCAAACATCGACTCACAGGGTGAAAAAGCTCAGGGAAATAAATATTCATAAAGGAAATAGATAAATGACATAGGGCAATTTTTTTAAAAATATTTAAATTGCCCTATTTCATTTATTCATTATGTTCCTGTGAAATATCCATGTGTATATTGTAAAATGAGTCTTGATGTTTTTAAGAATATTATTTAAGTTTTTTTTTTTTTTATGTGTAAAAATTGTAAGCTAAAAAATAATTTAACAAACCATAATTTATAACTTTGCCTAATATTGAAAACAAGTAGCTATTTAACTGACATAATAAAATTTTAAAAAGCAACGCAGGTCACAGAACTAAGTTTTAAATACGAGTAAAAACTTTTTTAACTCTAAAAATATATAAATATATATTCAATATATATACGTGGGTGTAGCCAATATCTGGATCAGGATCATATACATTAGGTTTATTTAAATATAGAAGGTTTAATGTGCAAGAACAAACGTATAACTTTGTATTAAAATGATATGAAATACGTATATCCGGGTAATAAATTTTGCAACTTTTATGTGAGAGAAAACTTAAGTGAACTCTCTTCAAGTATTAATGTAAACACAATAATTCTAAAATAAATTACTTTTGGTATGGTTGATAAGGAAAATTTTTTACCAAACGTATTTTGACATTGGCTGTTTTGGCCCCAGAAACAAAAATAGCTTCTATAATTCTTTGAATAAATGGTAAATATATATATATATATATATCAGTGCATGTAAAAAAAGTATTAATTTGAGCATTATACAGTCTCGATCGCTACCAGGTAGAAAGGGCACCAGAGAGTGCGTCCCGTAGGCATATAATTAGCTCTCTGATACCTTCGTTATCTTGTTTCACTGACAATTTGGCTTTTCTCTCTCGAAAGCTTCGTGTGGCCGCGATAGCCTAGTGGTCAAGGTAACGGACTTGTGGCCGGCGTGTTATGAGTTCGAGCCTAGTACCCCTAAAGACCAGCCGTGTGGGGGAGCAATGCACGTCAAATCTGTCAAGAGCTCAAACCTTCTCCTGATAGTGTGGTGTGGTAGTTAGAAGAGGGAACTACAGTTCAGGTGTCCTCCTCGACATTTGACTAGGGTTGAAAATGACGAAATCCGTCGCCGAAAGTCCTCGAGTAACTGAGTGTGACGTAAATATTCACTCGAAAGCTTGTTGGCCGCAGCAACCTAATGGTTATCGTCCTGAACTCGTGATAGGAGTGTCATGGGTTCGAGTCCTGGTGCCACTGAAAACCTGCCATGTATATGGGACCGATTTCCGTTAAATCTGTTGATGTCTTCCCGTCGGCACGGCGTGGTAGTTAGGATAAGAGGGTGCTAACTCAGATGTCGTCCTCGTCACTTGACAAAGATTCAAAATGACGAGATCTGTCACCCATAGCACTCGTGTTGCTTTATAGCGATCTTCAGAGGTTGGCTCACACAGTGGGAAATCCAACTCTTCCTTTCATTATTCAGCCATCAACTCCTGATTTTAACTTATATAACTGACAAGGTAGTTTGTTTTCGTCTGTTTCTCTCTCACTGAGGGCAAGTTCAATGCCGGGTCAACCCCACGTGTGCTTTTTTTACACTTTACAGATTCTGCTTTAGATTGTTTTTACCCCGGAGTCTTCTTAGGCCCACCGGAGGAGGGACAAACGTAAACAGCAGACGAAAGTCTCTCTCATCACTCCACCGTCCCGAAAATTGATAAAAGATCGGCGGGGATTTAAAGACGCAGTCCGAGTCCAAAGATGCGAGGATCTCGGGTGAGATTAAAGCCGAAAACTCCTCCTCCTTTTTGAACAGGGAACGATGAAAGATTCCCAATTCCCTACCGAAGGACACATTCCACCCCTTCTTCCTGAAATGAAAAACAAGGATGCTTTATCGGGCCGTGGGTGGACTCCTAGAGGGATGTCCGTTTTTAAAACTGCGGTCTCAAGATCTTTCATCGCAACCCGAATGGATGGCCTGGTGAAACTTATCTCACTTTTAAATGAGAAATAAATAGCCCTGCGACCTTGGGTTTGGATTTCATTTTCAGAGGAGGAAAACAAGGGGATCACGAGCCCAATGCGTGGGAACAAGGCTTTGACCTCTTCGGAAAAAATACTCAAATGGGATGTGGCTTTTCGCGTAAAATGTAGCCAATCGTTCACGCGGCACTGTTGTGTGCCGAGATTGAATAACACGCCGTGGAATAACAAAAGTAGCCCGGGGGGGGGGAGGAGAATTATCAAAATATATATATAAAATAAAAACAAGTAATATAATTTTTTTTTTAAAGTCAACTTCTACTTAGGTCAATAAAGAAAATTTTTATTTTAGTTACTTTTTATAATTACGATTTTAAAATATGTATATACATTTAACAAAATCGCAATATTAAGAGGCAAAATATAGAAAACGATTTTTCTTTACAATTATCTCTCTATATAGGGTGTTGGACTATTATTTTTGTTTGTTACGATTTATTCATTAATTAAATTTAATTATTCCAATAAAATAGTATATAGAAAAAAGAAAACACATTTTCAGAAATTAGGCTATCCCAAGAGGGATTTGAGCCCACGACCTTTGGATTAGAAGTCCAACAGGCAACGTGCTATCCATTGCACTACAGGGACACAACGAACGATTTTTTTTCTATATATGCTGCTGGACTATTATTTTTGTTTGTTATTATGTATTCACGAAATGAATGACTTCTCCCAGACGTCGTTTTACAGTCTGTCAAAAAAGTGTTGGAAAATTACATTTTCCCAATATTCTGTTGGCTGCCTTACATACACTTTAGCAAATGCCAACCTATAGCTTGTCTCTTTGCTTTGCTGATGTAGAGCTTTCTTTGAGGTACTCTGCCATGATACTTATGTTTTCTTAAAGCACATTATTTTTGACAGTTTCAGGATTTACTGATTTTCCGAACCTACTTTTACATTGCAAAATCATTTTTGCTGCACTAGTTCTTGGATTAATGTGTACTTATCTCACAATATCCACCTCTCTTCACGATCATTAAATATCCTTGAACGCCCTGATTGTTTGCTTGTTTTCAACACTATTTGTTTTCTTGAACCTGTCAGTGATGTGTGTGTGTTAAAAACAGTATATATACTCAATTTCAGGAGTTTTCCTATACAGCGAACTGAGCCCCCCCCCTTTCCAATGACATTACGAGATTTCGCTCACCAACCGATACATCTTTGTTTTTCGACATTTTTTCTATAAATAATCCTATCTATTGAAACGCGTTTATATATATGTGTTTAAACTTTTAGTTTAAAAAAGTGGTGTGTAACATTAAATTCTATTAATGCACTGCATATTTGTTGAATTTCTGATTTCAAAAGTGTCTCCAAACTATTTTGACTGCAGTGTGCCTTTGAATTATATTTGAAAAGCTAGATCAAATTATAATTCTATAATACTACTAAAATTTTTCTTATATAGAGTACACCACATGTTGTCTGAATTCATTTTGTTTTAATGTGAAAATTTTTTTTATCAATAGCTTTACAGTCAAGCATGCCAAGTGTCGCAATACTTTTTTGAGTGACTACGGTAACGGTTATACATTTACGTGGAACCTTAGAGATAGCTCTATTATCCACTCATCATAATAAATTGAACAGAGAACAATTTGTTGAAGTTACATATAAAAATAAAAAGCAGTCCACATTAAATGCAGCGCAATAACGCTGGTGGAGGGGTGGGTGGAAACCACTCTCCCAGTTGATTTAGTTTCTGTTTCGCTTTCAGAGGAAAACGAAGAGAAAATGACGTCACATCTCCATGACAGCAAAGCCCGTCTTTCAACCGTCTGCCGCATCTTGACGGAATGAGGAGAGAAGGGATATATTTTTTAATAACAAGGATTAAGAGAATAATATTTTTAAGTTCATTACACGTTACCTCTAAGATAACTGCGTGCGGTTACTGAAAGGAAGTTTTAAATAACCACTTGGAAGAAAAAGTAAGAAAAGGTAGAGGAGTTTGAAATAAGATCATGAAGGGTGAAGTCGCCACACTAAACGCGATCAAAAACTTGCATGGCGCGGGGGAGGGGAATAATTAGAGTGAGTGAAGTCTTGCAAAAGAAGACAACTAGTGCAACAATAAAGCTCATAATTTTTTAATTCGTATCAAGACATTCTCATCCTTTTAAGAGCTGAGAAGTGTTGATACGAGTGATTAAGAACAGCTCTAAGTCTCTTAGAAGAGCTAGGAATAGAATTCTCGTAAGCCGGAATTTCCCTGATAGATTCATTTCAAATCTGGTTGAAGAAATTTTCTGATTGTTTTTTGATGAAATCAAGAAGCGGCGGAACATTAAGATCTTTATGCAAGGCTTCGTTCCTGACAAACCAAGGTGCGTTTGCTTCTCTACGCAGTTGAATGTTTTGAAAAGTGTGCAATCTTTTCAGGTGAGTAACTGCCGCCCCTGCCCAGATGGGAGAAGCGTACAACATAATGGGGCGAAGAATGGCTTTGTATAATAGAACCTTGTACCTTAATGCGAGCTTGCTCTTGGGAGAAATCAAGCGATTTAGAGTGTTTCTCATTCCAGCCGCCTTTTGGTGGGCGGAACGGATGTGTTTAGCAAAGTTTAATTTAGTGTCAAGTAGTAAACCTAGGTACTTATATTCAGTAACCCAGGGGACAGGATGATTAAAAATGCTGACATGCGGGAGGTTTCCGATGCACCGCTGTCTCGTAAAGAGGAGGCATGCGCTTTTAGATGCATTAACCTTTATTTTCCAGTCGTTAAGCCAGGTTTCGAGTCGAATGACATAATTTTGAAGCCGCTCAATGATATTGCGGTTATAAATGTTTTGGGTAAAAATGGCAGTGTCGTCCGCGTACATCGCTAAGTGAACTTCAGCAGCCTTGGGAATGTCATTGATGTATAGATTAAAGAGCTTGGGCCCTAACAAAGATCCTTGTGGTACCCCACTGAGAATTGGACGCGGGGTGGAGAGACTGTTTTCAACTCTTACCCTAAATTCACGGGAGTTTAGGTAGGAGTGTATAATTTTGATGAGTTGGTCCGAAAACCCAAGTCGCGCATCATCTTGGATAACAAGCCATCATGCCAAATTTTGTCAAAGGCTTTGGCTATGTCCACAAAAAGCATACCCGTGGCCTGGTTATTTTGAAAGCCGTGATGAATCAGCTCAGTAACTCTTAGTAACTGGGTTACTGTGGAGCACTGTGTAACAAAGCCATGCTGTTCAGGAATAATAATATTCCTGGCCATGCAGTGCTGATTCAGGCGATTCAAAAGAACAAATTCTTACGCTTTGTTCAAGCTACTGAGTAGCGAGATTGGACGGTAATTTTGAGGTTGAGTATCATCAGAGTTGGGTTTTAGTATGGGGACCACCACGGCAGTCTTCCAATTCTTAGGGAAATGACAGTTCTCTATTAATAGATTGAACAGCATGACAATAAAAAGAACGAATTTTAGGGGGAGATTTTTAAGGATGCGATTTGTAATTAAATCCAATCCAGGAGATTTATTGATCTTAAGCTTTTTAATATATTCCTGTACTTCCCCAGGCGTTGTTTTTTCCAGGTCTAGACAGGTAGGAGCGTCCAGGAATCTTTTAATTTTCCTTTGTGTATGAGCTGTAAAACGTTCGTTTTCAGCTTCAGTGTTGGGTTCGAACTGCTTTTGAAGGCTGTCGGCAATCACTTCCGCCTTCTCCAGAGGGTGATTTGCTACACTGCCATGTGCGCCCTTTAGGGGGGGGAATGTTTTGAAGCGGTTTTTTGAATAGTGAGGTTTTCCTCCAAAGTGTGCCTGTCTCCGGCGTAAGTGCCGCTATGTGAGATTCCCAACAAGATTGGGAAAAGTGTCTAATGTCTTTCGTAACCTCAAGACTGAGTGTTCGGAATTCAGATTTCACACTGCAGGATCTTTTGTACGTTGCCAAAATTTCCGAACACGATTTCTGTGGCGAATTTTAGCTTTAATTTCGGAGGGGAGTTTTAATGGGGGTTGTTTAAATTTTGGTTTTCAAGCTTCTATAAGAGCATCAGAGATATTTTCTCCAAGCCTTCTAATTGAAATTTCTAGGTCGTCATTGCTGGAGGAAGGAGGGATGGGGAGTGATTTGTTATTTAAAAGAAATTTGAAGTTCTCCCAATTGGTGGAGAGTTGATCCGGAATTTTGATTAGAGAAGAGCCAGTATATAGAGTAAGAGAATGACCGGTAGATGATCTGATTCATGATCATCTATAACTCTAATATCATGATTGAAGGGGATATTTTTAAGAACTGCTAGATCAATAATAGAATCTCTTGCCCCCGGTATAGAGCTAGTGTTGATATGTGTAGGAGTGTGCGGTGCTACAATCCTCACATTCGGTTTATTATTAACAATTCTGCGAAGAGCATAGCCAAATGCATTTGATCTAGCGTTACTCCACGCATTTTTTGAGTGACTGTATGTCAACATTCATACTTGAATACGTGGCAGGCATTGTTGCAGGCGAATATTGTCACAACCCACATATTCAATCTATAAAGGCTGAAAATAAATAATTAATTGGCTCCTGCATTGGCCGAAATGATCGATTTTATGAACAACGCTATATAAAGAAGCACGAGGTGCTGCTGGCGAAGTTATTTTGAACGGTGGTCAACTAACTTTGTCCAAGTATATTGAATGTTGATTTTTTAAAAAAAGGACATTCTTGGCAGGAGATATCTTAAAATTTGCTTAGTCTTTATTATTAAAATTACTGAACGGACTATATCGCCCATCCGGTATTGTGGTTAGCAACGCTGACATCTAAGCCTTAGGGTTCGAATCCCGGAGAGAAGGCATGGGTGTTTGTCACTGTATAGGGTACCTTTGCGGTATGGAGGTACTCTAAATAGCCGTCGAGTCCTCTCGTTAGGTGGGTGGAAGGTGGAACCCCCTGAACCCCCTCCTCTAGGGTATTCTCCCTCCAAATTGGGAAGGAACCGTTGAAATGTCAACTGTATGGTGCTCATGGCTACGATCCTCAACAGGCTCTGGTAACTTTCCTTCCTTCCCTTCGGGAAGGACAAGACAACGACAAATGAATTGGCTCAAGCAGATTACAAAGTCAGTCAACATATTGTTTATAACATGGTTTGTTTACTGATAAATAGGATTGTTAGAGGTATAATATTTTTTATTGCTATATGAAGAAAAAAATGGGAAAGAGCCACCCTCAAATGCCGAGGAACTGGTTCCCCTGGGGGATTTTCATAATCGATTGTCACAAGTAAAAAAGAGCGGTTAAGTTCGAAACCTACTACATTTCGGCCCATTGGGTAGCGCCTTGAGCTCATGGCCGAACCCTAGTGAAAACCATGAAGTGGCCGCGGCAACCAAGGTAACGGAGTGTCATGAGTTCCAGCCTTGTACCACTGAACACTCGCCGTGCAGAGGCAACCGATGTGCGTTAAATATGTCCTCCCGTTGGTGTGGTGTGGAAGTTAGGAGAGGGGAGTGGCATCTCAGGTGCCGTCTTCATCACTTGACCATGGTTCAAAATTTTGAGGTGCGTATCCAAAAGCGCTCGAGTAGCTGAACAGTGCGACGTCAATATTCATTCCCGCACTCACTCACACCACTATTCAGAAGG